TTTTTTTGTTTAAATTTTTTTACCTTCTCTAATAAAACTAACGTCCCCCCCCCCTTCAATTGTTTCTTTTTGTTTTTGCCCCCCCCTTGCTGGCAAGAATTTTATGGAAAACCCCCCCCCTATGTTTTCCCCCCCCCCCCCCCCCCTCCTGATGATTATTGCACAGTCCCTAATCAGCCCGAGTAAAAAGCCCTCCCTATAAAAGCGATGACTCTGCCTGAAGTGTTAACTTTTTCAGGCGTGTATATCAAAAAGTTTTGAATTCACGATTTAACGTATACAAAATAGTAGGAAAATCTATCATTGAAGGGTCTTTAATTAAAATGTTTAGGAAAGACGTGGCTTATCATTTATATTTTAACTTGTTAAAAGTTACAAGAAAATGGCAGACTTCTTGTTTTGTCAAAAGACAGTAAAATTGACGGCGTAAGGGTTTCCACCTGCGCAAAAACACAGCTGAATGAATAACAAAATGCTGCGATTACATTTCACAAGGATTCTCAGTCAAGAAACGGAGCCATTATTTAGTAATTTTAAGACCCCTTCCCGCGCTTGGTATATCGGAGGTTAACGCCCGCGGCTGAGAGATTGAGGACAATCTTTCAGCCAAGGACATTATCATCCGATATACCAGCAAGCCAGAAAAGGGTTTATAACCCCTGCATCAACCTTCAGCTGATGCTTTCATAAAAAAACAATCTTTTACTGAGTGTTATTTGTAACGTTTTCAGTGAACTTTGACGGAAGTAAGTAAAAATGAATGTCTTTGACTAGGATGCCTAATCGGAACACAAATTGTTATTCTCAGTGTCATAACAGGACACCGTTATTTCACTGGTTGTTTTTTTATGGAATTTGGCTTTTAGAAGTGCATCGGCAATCGTGCTTTAATAGTAGTTGGAAGGGGACATGGGGGTTTACGGTATTTAGGCCTTTCCAGATTCTGCTCGGCAACTTTTTAGCAACTTTTAGGATTTTGAGCAACTTCAAGCAACCTTTCGGAAAACGAGCACTTTTTCGGTAACTTTTGGGCTATTTTGAACCAAAATGCTGAATAACCTCCCCCTTTTTTAAATAAACAAGTTAAAATTCTCTTGGTTAAAATTCTAAACATCTTTCTAGTAAAACTCATATTTTGACCCTTTGAATGGGTATCATGAGGACGTGGTAATTAATTACAAGAATTGGGCTTGGGTAGCCTCAACCTCGTTCCCAGGGCTTTTCCCTTCTCGTGGGGGGCGCCCTCCCACGAGAAGGGAAAAGCCCTGGGAACGAGGTTGGGGTAGCCTGTGGACTGTGTGTAAATAAAATGGCGGACGCCACGTTGTCTTCCGAAGACGAAGAAATCGAAAACCCCTTTGAAACTGCAGTTAGCAGGGGAGCTTTGTTACACTTACTGTCTAACTTTTTGTAACTAGCCACTTAGATTCAACTAAAGGTTGCCTAATTTGTTGTAACTAGTTACTTAGTTGTACCTTAATGTTGATTACAAACCAATTGTTATTAAAATTAGGCATGCCGTCTTAAAAATATTTGAGCAACTTTACAAAATTTTTGAGCAACTTTTTCAATTTTGAGCAACTTTTGAGCAACTTTTTGGCATATTTCTTAGCAACGTTTTAGCTTTTTCGGAGCAGAATCTGGAAAGGCCTAACGGTATTGAGGTATTGCGGTATCATCTAGCCGTACGGAATGCGGTGATTCATCCACATGGCTCATGGTATTCGATGAAAGAATCACGGATTTATTGCAGTACTGTTCATTTGCTCCCTCACCTGTCTAATGCAGGTCAATATTTTTAAGACTTAAGACTATAAAATGGTAACTGGTTACACTATTTCTGA